CAATGCCACATGTGAAGAAACGTCTCAGTGGTTCTTTTCCAGATGATCTTCCAGCCCCTTCATCCAGCCCTTCCTCTCAAGCAGATTCAGACAACGTTTTTCTCCAAACAGAAGACCATCAAGATTCAAGTATTCCAGTCCCCCCAAGTCTGCCAGTGCCAATGCCACGTGTAAAGAAACGTCTCAGTGGTTCTTTTCCAGATGATCTCACTGTTCCCTCAAGTTGTCCACCACCTCCAGTAGATTTACTTGACATAGGAGTCCTTGAGGGAGGACCAATTGAAACAAGCATGACCGTCCCGATTCCCCGCTCAGAGAAACTCAGTGACAAGTTCTCTGATGAGAACCTTCCAAGCTTACCTCAAGATTCTTACTCTGCAGTCTCAGAAGAAGGCAAGCTTCCTATCTCAGAAAATGAACAATGTTCTGTTGAAGTGGCTACACAGGTGAGGGCAGAAGCAGGGATACAGAGTATTGAGGATTCTACCACCTCAAGTGCCAATGAAGTAGAGCTAAACAGAAAAAGCCTGGATGAGTCTTGTTTAGAACCTGTTGAGCAGATAGAAACTGATGTGACAGATATCAGTGAAAAACCCAAGACTGGTGCTCCACTTGGTGAGCATTGTGAGGACAAAGGGGGAACAGAGCAACAAATGGAAAAATATACAAGTATTGAGGAAGACATGAATGCTGTGCATTCTGGAGATGCTGAGGTTGTAGATGACACAGGTGTTATCTTAGATGTGTGTAGGTAAGTTTTTGTAGATAAACTGTCACATTTGTAGACATTACACATGCCATTTTTTATTTTTATGAGTGCAGTAATTGGTCACTAGAGGTGCTCTAACAGTCTTTCAACCAATAATACTGTTTCTTTGATTTTGGGTTTTCAAAAACAATTGATGTTTATGGTTAATTTACTCATTAAAGATTTGGCTTTTTAGGTTAAACTGTCTTTATGAAAAATGTGCAAAATGTAAATAAAAATAAATGATTATATATGATAAAGGTGAAGACATTGGTGCTTGTTTAATTTTGTTATGCATCTTGAAACTCAATATGAATTTCCTTTTAGGCTCGAGAGATAAATCTATAAGAGTTGAATAGCTTTTGCTATACTGGTTTATTTGAATGTAGACATCAGTTTTGTTTAATTTTTTTCTCTTTCTTTCTTTCATCTAGACAAGCAGCAGCTGAAGATTCCTCCAGTCTTCCTGTGCCAATGCCTCGCGTGAAGAAACGTTTAAGTGCCTCTTTCCCAGAAGACGTCTCCATTCCCAGTTCCTCATCAGCCAGTCAAAGTGAGGTTTCAGAAAAGCCCAATAATGAGCCCACAGTTCCTGTTTGTAATAAACGAAGAGCTGCAGCAGATGCCATAGACCTTCAGGGAAGTTCCACAGCTCACACATCACCAACCAAAGAAACAGAGGTTGTTAAATCTGCTGCTTTTTAATTATGTTGATTATATTACCATAGTGACATCAACGAGCAGGTAGTTAATTTGTCTTTGCCTTCAATTCTAGATTGCGACCTTGGTGAATTCAAGTCAGTCTCTGTTGGAATGGTGCCAAAAGGTCACACAAGGTTGCAAAGGCGTCCGGATATCAAATTTCAGCACCTCATGGAGAAACGGCCTCGCTTTCTGTGCCATCCTGCATCACTTCCATCCAGATAAAGTGTGGGTGTTTTTTATGTGGAAGAAGGCATTAAGCTAATTTCATAAATGTTACATGGGTTATGTATTTTGTTTGTTTATTTGTTTGTTATTCTGTCTTTAGGAATTATGAAATGCTGGATCCATATGACATTAAACGCAACAACAAGAAGGTGATCCACCCATTTTCAAATTAGATAATGACTTTTTTTCATTTTTTATTTCCTTTGACTGTGATCTAATTGACTGACCCTATTTAATGTTGTTATATTTTAAGTCTAAACAGTATGTTCAAGTTTTACTGTACAACAAAAATTACAAGGCCATTTTTGCTGTGCACTTGCCTTAATGATTATAACTCTGTGATCAGGAAATAGTGAAAATTAATATTTCCTTGTGTATTCATAGGCGTTTGATGGCTTTGCTGAACTGGGCATCTCTAGGTTGATAGAGCCCTCTGACATGGTGCTGCTGGCAGTGCCTGACAGGCTCATCGTGATGACGTATCTCAACCAGATCCGCACCTATTTCACGGGCCAGGAGCTCAGTGTCATACAGATCGAGAAGAACAGCAGCGAGTCCAGTTACGCTGTTGGTGAGAAGAGGGAGGAAGCCGACCCTGAAGCCGCTGTTCGCTACTGTGCCGAAAGGCTCCAGAGCAGCGGCATCACTCTAGAGACCAATGGAAGCTTCCCTGAAAAGGAAGTCAAGGGAGGTGCTGGTGTTTTGGTGCCACCTCCAAGAACAAAGCGAGTGCAGGGCCCAAGCCAGGCTGGAGGATCAGGGGCCACTCAGCCTCCAGTGGCACCACCCAGAAAGGCTTTTTCTCATCTCAAGGATGCAGATCTTGTTAAAAAGCGCAGATCGAAGCTGCGGGGAGAGTCACTGGATGAGCCTGAACCACACGAACAGCAGAGTGGTACAGAGGTAAAACATTTCAACCATAGTGTAGCAGTCAGGTTGGAATAATAATTTTTTTTAAAAATGTTTTTGAAAGAAGTTTCTTATGCTCACCATGGCTGAATTTATTTGAATATTTGAATATATTTGAATATATAATTTATTCCTGTGATGGCAAAGCTGGCGTTTGATGGCTTTGCTGAACTGGGCATCTCTAGGTTGATAGAGCCCTCTGACATGGTGCTGCTGGCAGTGCCTGACAGGCTCATCGTGATGACGTATCTCAACCAGATCCGCACCTATTTCACGGGCCAGGAGCTCAGTGTCATACAGATCGAGAAGAACAGCAGCGAGTCCAGTTACGCTGTTGGTGAGAAGAGGGAGGAAGCCGACCCTGAAGCCGCTGTTCGCTACTGTGCCGAAAGGCTCCAGAGCAGCGGCATCACTCTAGAGACCAATGGAAGCTTCCCTGAAAAGGAAGTCAAGGGAGGTGCTGGTGTTTTGGTGCCACCTCCAAGAACAAAGCGAGTGCAGGGCCCAAGCCAGGCTGGAGGATCAGGGGCCACTCAGCCTCCAGTGGCACCACCCAGAAAGGCTTTTTCTCATCTCAAGGATGCAGATCTTGTTAAAAAGCGCAGATCGAAGCTGCGGGGAGAGTCACTGGATGAGCCTGAACCACACGAACAGCAGAGTGGTACAGAGGTAAAACATTTCAACCATAGTGTAGCAGTCAGGTTGGAATAATAATTTTTTTTAAAAATGTTTTTGAAAGAAGTTTCTTATGCTCACCATGGCTGAATTTATTTGAATATTTGAATATATTTGAATATATAATTTATTCCTGTGATGGCAAAGCTGAATTTTCAGCAGCCATTATTCCAGTCTTCAGTGTCACATGATGCTTCAGAAATCATACATTTCATTTTAAAATCTATTCAAATAGAAAACAGTTATTTTATATTGTATTAATATTTTACGATATTAGTGTTTTTCTGTATTTTTGAATTATTAAATGCAGCCTTGGTGAGCATAAGAGACTTCTTTCAAAAACATGAACAATTTTAATTATTCCAAACTTTTGACCAGTAATGTTATATTGATATGTTATTAGTCTTAAATTGAATAGTATGGTCAGTGCTTGAAGACTAGTTTGAAACACACACACAAAATTGTTAATAATAACTATAATGCATAAAGCTAAATATTTTAAATATTGTCTGTAATGTACCTTTACTATTATCACACAGCTGTCCAACCCTAAAAGAATATAATGAGTGAAATGTGACTTGTAAATGGCCTGTGCACTCTTTAGTTTCATGCATTTTTCATGTATTCAGGATCATTATATAAACCTCAGGACCAGGCATGTGTGACTGTATTGGCGTGTTGTGATGGCCCTTGTTTACAGTGCAAAATGGATGTTTTTGAATGTGTGATTCATGTGTCACGAGAGAGATATTGTTTTTGGAACTGGGTTGTATTATGCAGAGCACTGTATTATTGTCTCCTTTGTGAGGGTGATTATTTTAAAATTTTCTTATAACCGAGTTAACTTTATAAACAGTAGTATATTACTGAGCTGCTGTGTATTATAATGTTTTTTACCCAGGCTGCATCAGTCCAAGCAGAAAGTGAAGCAGCCAAAGGAGGTTCAGAGTCACGTAAGAATTAACTCAAAACTCACCTTTCAAAGGCTTTATGTTCAAAGACACTGACATGTTAAATCCATAACTTATGCTAAACATATTTTCTGCAGAATATAAGAAATTATGAAAATTATTTTTGGGTTGTACGTTATTGTAAACTGTTGTAAAGTATTGCATGCATTTAAATGTGTCTCCTTTGTGAGGGTGATTATTTTAAAATTTTCTTATAACCGAGTTAACTTTATAAACAGTAGTATATTACTGAGCTGCTGTGTATTATAATGTTTTTTACCCAGGCTGCATCAGTCCAAGCAGAAAGTGAAGCAGCCAAAGGAGGTTCAGAGTCACGTAAGAATTAACTCAAAACACACCTTTCAAAGACTTTATGTTCAAAGACACTGACATGTTAAATCCATAACTTATGCTAAACATATTTTCTGCAGAATATAAGAAATTATGAAAATATTTTGGGTTGTACGTTATTGTAAACTGTTGTAAACTATTGCACGGATTCAGACGTATTGTTTCTTCTGTCTTGTTTGTGTAGAAAATGTAGAGAATGTTGAAGAGGCCACTGCAGGAGGGAATCAGGTCATTCAACGCTTTTCTATTTGTGGCTTGATGACTCAAGTCAGTTGAAATAATGTTGAAATAATATGTAATAGTATTTTATAGTAAACTAACTCCAAACCAATATTTGATAGGGTTGTAAAATGCGTATATATGGGTGTGAGTATTTGCATGTGTTTATGATGTGTTTGTGTATTTGCAGGATGGCAGCCAATATGTACATAGTGAGATGCAGGCGCTGGAGGCTGAACAGAATCAGATAGATCGCAGAGCAGACATTGTGGAGAGGAAACTGAGAAGACTTTTGGAATCTGGTAAATCACTGATTAAAGTAGTTTGAGAACCTATTTTTATCAAGCAACAAATGAAAGCTTACACTCTAAAAAATGCTGGGTTAAATATAACCCAGCACTGGGTTAAAAAGGGACAAACCCAGCTATTGGGTTGTTTTGACCCAGCGATTGGGTTGTTTTGAACCTCCCTTTTTAATCCAGCGCTGGGTTATATTTAATTTTTTTTTGGATTCTGGAGGTTTCATGGTTTGTCCCTGACCGTGCCTTTATATGAATCAGATTGCATGAAACAGTTCACGATCCAAACAAACATGCTACATTATAGTATGAGCAGTTTTTGATGTAAAGTAGATTGTATAATTTCAAAATTGCAAGCAAAAACAGAATGGTCTGACCTTAGCTGTGTGAAATTATGCTAAGTAAAACAAATCAGAAACAGAAAATAACGGAAACTGCAGACAGGCTGCGTGAGAATGCAAATTCACTCTCTGACAGCAGGTGGCGCTGTCTATGTTGCTTAGCCACTTGTACTGGTATGCTGGTTTTTGAAAAATTCACACCGTGTGCATAATTCTAACCGTTTGAACCGTTTGAACCATTATATCCCCCTGCACTAAATATACACACATATACATAGATCATAGATTATGATGCATTGTGCTAAGCAAATGACAATGCAGTTCATTATGTATGTCTTGATGAAGTTGTGCTCTTATCGTACACTTACAGGTAGTGATCGTGTAGAAGAAGAGACACTGATTCAGGAGTGGTTTACCCTGGTCAACAAGAAGAACGCTTTGATCAGGAGACAAGACCATCTGCAGTCACTGTATGTCTTTTCACACTTATTCTCACTTACTTTGTGTTTCACTGTACTCATTTAGATGATGACCTCTCATTTGAACAGTGGCTGATTTAAGATACATTGCTAATTATCGTTCCTTCTGTGTGACAGACAAGAAGAGCAAGATTTGGAGAGGAGGTTTGAGCTGCTAAAGAAAGAGCTTCAAGATTTAATGGCTGTGGAAGGTACGACTGTTCTTACATAAATATATGTGAAATGGAGAACTACATCACTAGGAATTCCAGAAAATGTACACATGTAATTTGGAGCATATGCATGTGTTTTTACATATTAAAGATGTTTTGGCACTCATCAAGTAGTTTAATCAGTTGGGGCATGTGGCAATCTCTCATTGTCCTCAAATTTTGGTCTTGCTTGTTTTGTAAAACTGAAGAATGGAAGAAAACCCAGGCCCATAAAACCAGAGAGCAGCTGTTGTTGCAGGAGCTGGTGTCTTTAGTCAACCAGAGAGACGAGCTTGTGCATGATATAGACGCCAAAGAGAGAGGGTGAGATTCATTCACATTACAAAATATACTCTATACTTTTTTTTAGACCAGAATTTCTTGAGCAGCAAATCAGCATATTAGAATGATTTCTGAAAGACCATGTGACACTGGAGTAATGGCTGCTGAAAATTCAGCTTTGCATCACAGGAATAAATTACATTGTAAAATATATTCAAATTGAAAGCTGATATTTGAAATTATAATAATATTTCACAATATTAGCCTTTCTCCTGTATTTTTGATCAAATAAATGCAGCCTTGGTGAGCATAAGAGACTTACAGAAACATTCATTTCTATGGTCAACCACCACTGACTTTCTCTCTTTTTCTTACTCTTTCTCTGTCATCTCATTCCCAAGGGCTCTTGAAGAGGACGAGAGGTTGGAGAGAGGACTAGAAATGAGGCGCAGGAAATATGGAAGTCGGAAAGAGAAGTGTGTGTTACAGTGAGGTCCTCTAGATTCTGTGCACCTGCTTTTATACAGGACCGTCCCGTTAAACACTGTGCTGATGGACTAGTGAGGTGTGTGTGTGGACCATATCACAACAAATGACGAGGAGATTGTGACTAGATGAATTCTCAGTCCTCATGTTAAAAAGTTTGAGCAGCATGAATGCTAATTTCAGGGTGGATTAAAAGCGGTCTTCTTTTAGAGACATTTTTAGTTTCAGAACATTTGTCTGAAAAAGTGAAATAGACAGTTGTAATGGTCAGTTCTTGTTTTACATTTTCAGTAAAAATAATATACATGTGGCCTTTGCAGTGTTATTACCTAAGTTACCTTGTTTGTACAAGTTGGTTGCTGCAGTGATTTTAAGGTATCTCAAAGATATGTAAAATAGTACAGTATAAGTTTTCAGAGTATGAAAGAAGGAGCATTCAGTTTTAAATGACACTGCTGTGTTACAAGGAGATTATGTTGTGTTATGCAACCTAACAAGCAGACAAAACAGCACAAAAGCATGGGAGAAAATAAACATTTTGCACAAAATTTCTCCATTAAGGCACCCTTTTAGTTATGGATATCATTTGCACAATATGATTCCAATGATGCTTCTCCAAGTACTGTTACAGTGGTTGCCTGTTCTGTTTGAAGAGCCCTGATTTAATGGCCATGCTCACACAGCAGCAGAATAGTTGTCAGTCCTGTATTTGAGTCCTTAATACGGTTACGTTCACACACAGTGCTGTTATTTAGAGTGTTCTGTGCGCGACTAAAATGCTCCGCTCTCCACCCAAATATAAAAGCTGCTGTCAGTTAATGATGATTTGATGAATGAACTTGTGGCTCGATTGGACTCTTGTCGTGTCAGAAAGTGATAACACTTTCAGTTTTATGGACATCGCCATTTTTTATATTTCTTTGGTCACTGTCACTATGGTAACTGGTAAGGAATACGGGTTTGACTCCCACTGCACATTCATACAGACAGTATCCGAGAAGCTACTGTAAGTTGCTGTGTGAATGTGACATTTCGAGACTCACACCTGTTAGTAAATGTGGTTGTCAATCCCAAAAACTGACAGTGTGAACGTAGCCAATATCACAGAACATGGAAAATGCATAGAATCTGTCAAATAGAGTATGCGCATGAACTTTGAGTGTTAGCATTTTATTTTTAAATATCTGATTGAAAAAAAAATTGTATTGTATTTATATAACATCATCTTTCATCCATGTAAGGGACTCAACTCTTTGATTTGATATTATCTTTGGCCCTGTTTACACTGTTTGAAATGTCATTATTTGACAGTGAATTGTTTTTGGAAAGTCCTGATGTCAGCTAACACACTACAGCTGACACGTCTTTGGGAAATAAAATTGTTTTCAAATTCTGAATTGCATCCAACCTGGTGGTTGTTGAAGAGAAATGTACAATAGTGTGTGTTTACAAGTATTTTGCAGTTTTGTTTTAAAGAAAATAGGTCATCAGTATGTGCAAAGGGTCCCAACGTCACTGGACTCCAGTAATAGAAAGGCTCTAGGCAGAAGATCAAGGGCAAGATCTCCAACCAAAATACAATATGGTTCGCCATGGCATGTATCTTATGTTAAAGCTAGCATAAATTCAGATGCACACACACATATTCAAACATAATCATCTCTCTCTAGGTCTACCAACAAGGGAGTTGTAGGGAGTATACTGAAGGGTGTTTAAGTATGATGCATTTTTTGTTTGTTTTATTAAAATACATTTTCATATAAGTGTTTATATAGAAACTTCACAGCCTAATTTTTTATAAATTGTTGTAAAACATTTTTATCAAATAATAAAGGCTAAAGATTAGATGTTAGCTTGTATATTGATGGTTGTAAGTTTCACTTCCCTATTAAAATGAAACATCAGCACATATATAATTCTCTAAAATTCCATGTGTATCATGGTCTTGCACAAGAAGGTCTTTCTACAAAAGAAGCATCGCTTAATCAGCAACCTCGACAGTGTAAAGGAAAAAGAACTGAATCATTAAAATGCATGTTTTTTTCTTCTGGCAGTCACTGACTGAATACCTGAAATAAACATTTTGAAGTTCATATAAATCACAGAGTAAAGGGATTTGTTGTTCACGAAAAAGGCCTCAAGCTGGACATACCACTGGGCGCTGAACTACAATCAAATAAAGAAATATAAAACATTATTAGTAATAGTAAGTTCTACGGGCGTTTAAAATAAGGGTTCTTCAAGTCGATTGATTACGAACGCTTTGCGAATCGGTTCGTTTGAATCGTTAAAAAGAACCGGTTTAAAACAAGGTTCCCTTTCATGGGAACTTCGAACTGCGTCCTCTAGGGGTCGCTATGGGGAACGCCTCGTCGTGACCCGTGTCTGAAGCATACATTGAAAAAACACCAACTCGTTGGCCGGCGACAGCCATGACGTCACTACCGGTGTGACTATAGTATAAATAGGCGCCGGGAGCCTTTGTGTTCCACATGAATACAAACAATGACTTTAACGAAGAAAGTCTGTTACCTAAAGTTTATTATGTTTAATAATAGGCTAAATATTTTCTTTAAAAAAAAATCATTAATTCATTGATCCATTTCCCAGAATTAGCAGTGTTCGTAATTACATTTTTATTATTAATGGTTTATTTTATATAAATACACTATTGTTCAAACGTTTTTGAAGAAAGTCTCTTATAAGAGTTCGGTAAAACAGTGTTTGAAAAACCGGGGGAAAAAATCCTATATTTTGTTTCTATTTATGTTTTTATTTAATTTTTTAATTAATATTTTAAAATTGCAATTTAGTACTGTGATAGCAAATCTGAATTTTCAGCATTTACTCCAGTCTTCAGTGTCACATGATGCTTCAGAAATCATTCTAATATGCTGATTTGCTGCTCAAGAAACATTTCTTATTATTATCAATGGTGAAAACAGTTGTCCTGCTTAACATTTCTGTGGAAACTGTGATTCATTTTTTTCTATGTAGAAATTT